GCACTTCAAAACTCTTCATACGAAATACAAACGATTTAAAAGAATAGTTTCCCAAACGGAGTTTTTTTCAGGTCAAGTACATACGAATGTCTTATGGCTCCTGCACACAGGACGCGGTAATGCTTGCCGCGCGGCAGAAGTTCGCGCAACAGCCAATCAATATGTTGTTTTTTCGTAAGAGCTAAAAGGTTATTACGGAAAGCAGCATATTGATTGGCTGTCGCGCGGCAAGCATTACCGCGTCCTGTGTGCAGAAGCCATTACAGCCATATTCTTACAGCTATTGGGTGCTTTCCAATTGCTTAACACATCTTGACACACACATACACAAAATCAGTTTATATTATCTAAAATATCTTGTAAGATAATATGCAACCAATAAGCTGGTTCTGTGTAACACAGTGTACGCACTGAAAAGCACCCATTGTAGATGAGTCTTTAAGGCCATTCTACAATAGCTGTAATGGCTCCTGCACACAGAATGCGGTAATGCTTGCCGCGCGGCGGAAGTTCGCGCGACAGCCAATCAATATGCTGCTTTCCGTAATAACCTTCTAGCTTTTAGCTAGAGCTGTCAGTGAATGAAAATAATTCATTTCGCGTCTTACAGCCGTAAGTCCGTATCAGACTACCGACTACACAGGCCGACCCGACTACCGACTACTACTGCCGACTCTCAATGGACCAATCACAGTGAGGCGCCGAGTCAGCGCCTCACTGTGATTGGTCCATTGAGAGTCGGCAGTTGTAGTCGGCAGTCGGGTCGACCTGTGTAGTTGGTAGCCTGATACGGGCTTTACAGCCATATTCTTACAGAAATTGTAGACGAGCCTTAAGAATATGGCTGTAAGGCTGTAAGACGCGAAATAAATTATTTAATTCGCTGACAGCTCACGATACAGCCTTACAGCCATATTCTTACAGCTATTATAGATAGCCTTAAGACGCGAAATGAATTATTTTCATTCGCTGACAGTTCACGTTACAGCCTTACAGCCATATTCTTACAGCTATTGTAGAATAGCCTTTAAGCAAGGTTGTGGACAAGAGGTACAATGGCAGTAGGAGTAGTAGTAAGAAATAAGCAGTAAGTAAATTGACCAATCAAAATCGATAATTCTTGAATCGTGAGAATGGAATTGATCAATTTGCTTGATTAATTTTAACTGTTTAATTCTTACTATTACTGCCAATGACTTAGGCTGCGTTCCGTTTCACGCATATGCGCGCATTTATCTATAGTTCATGTTACATATATTGTAGGCAATGCACGCATAATACGTGAAACGGAACGCAACCTTAGTTTACATCGTGCACTTGATACGCGTACTAAATAGTAACTTTCTATTAGATAATCTTAATATCGACGGCATTAATATATTAATGCATATCAACGGCGATGCATTCAATCAATACAATACGTTTTGTTGATGAGTATTATAATATACCGTTATGAGTATTATAATATACCAGCTTAATATACCGTTGTTTATATCGACGATATTAAGATTATCTAATAGAAAGTTACTATTTAATACGCGTATCAAGTGTACGATGTAAACCAAGCCATTGTAGACGACGCATAATTCAACAGTACAACTAAAAAGAACAGACCACCAGTCATCTGTAATTTTCCCTCAAAACAGATGGCGCCACGAATGCTGCAGCTTGAAATACATGGCAGTTCAGCGGAGCTCCGTTCAAGCGTCTAGAAGCGTTCCGTACGCAACGGTCTCGCGTCTTTCCTGCGAGCTCGCAATTTTCTGTATGCAAAAGGACCTCCTACTCCGTGTGAACGCGCGCGTCCGATTGATTTCAGAGAGTTTCACGCGTGTGTATACGTGCGAAGAACTGTCGAACACTCCGCTCGAGATCAGAGCATGACGCCGGTTTGCGTAGCGGATGTTCGTACACAAAACTACTGCTTTCGCTCCGTATCACTCCATTTTCACCGCACTCCAGCTTCAACGAACTAAGGAAGCGCGAGTAACTGAGCTGAGAAGCTGTGCACGGATCCGCCGTTACCCAGTGACACGGTGATCGTCGTACTTTCTTGACCGACCAGTTCGAGGTAAGCGATCCCGTTATTTGCGCTTCGCACTATCGATCTTTGTGTTTGGACTCACTCCCGCCCTTGACGGCATCAGATCCACCCTCTCACACCGGCCGAGAGGTTATGGCTTCGGCGGTTAATGCGTTCATTGCGGTCGTCCGAAAACTCTTCTTGATCCTTGAGCCATACGAATCAAACATTTGATAATAAGTCGCACGATATTTTCGCAAGGACCTTTGTTTTGAACTCTCTTTCATCGATAAAAGCGTCCCGAGGGCCGATTTTTTCAACTTCTTGCTAAGCTAACATTTAAATCGTTGTTTCTGTTCAATTTAGAGGAAAAATAAAAACACGTATGACTCATGGCAAAAAATTAACTGTTAACTTACTAAAAAAATTAACTCTTAATCTGTTTATAAACTGATCAGAAAGTTCATAAGTCACATTTAGAGGCACTTTTATAGTTAGAAGTTTTCTGAATAAGGGGCCAGATTCTGACGATAGTCAGAATTCATGGCTAGCTGCCCGATGAGGAGAGTGTGGCCGCGCACCCCAGCTTTTCCAATTTTACACGCAGGAGAAAACGAGAAAAAAGTCTCCCTTCACGTGGCCTTTGATATTTAAACCGATAACAGGGTTATCCAGGTTACGGGGAGGAGGAGCCATACATCCCGTGCCAACGCCGACGTCACGAAATTGTATGTGCCAACGTTTAGAGGGTTGATAGTTTATCTTCCGCTTCCGATGCGCTAAACATCCTTCAATATTGCGTTCCGTCATCGCCGAAGAATCAATTCGGCGTCCTTCACGACCATCGGCCAGGGATATGCGTTTTTGCGATATATCGCAAGCACTGCAATTTTCTTAAATCACAATGCAATACGCAATTTTATCGCAAAATCGCGCCTGTAATTCAAAACCACTCGTCATTTTAAGTTAAATATCTGTAGAAATATCGCGCGTCACTTTGATATTTCACATTAATTCAAATTATACATTTAGAAGCATAAAGGGATTATGCCGTTATAACAGCCTTAAAATGTTAAGTTGCATTATTTTTTAATATATTATATATATATATATATACTTTTTTTTATATAGGTTTCAAAAGGTTTTCTAAAGATTGCTACACTTAATATTGATTGTCATTAATATTTTAGTAAAAAGAAGTAATAAAAAAAGTAGTTTTATCGTTTTATGAGGAAAATGTTGTTAAGGAATAATTATAATTAATTTAATTGAGATAATATATTCTTATATTGCATATCTTAATAAGTCACGTTTGAAAATTAATGATTCAAAAATGAACAAATTTTATAAAATGTTTCCCATTTTGCGCCACATAGAAAGCATAATAAGATTAAATTAAAAGATTAAAAGATTAAATTAAGAGATTAAGAGATAATGTTTTTAAGAAAATATCACTTAACTTCATTATATACTTTCATTTGTAATTATTTTTACACAAGTAAAACTTATGTTTTCTTATAGTAAACATTTCGAAGAATATTTTGATGCAGTACGAGAAGAGAGTTGATTTATTTATTTTTAATATGTTTAATAATTATTTAAACATTACGGTACTATGCCCCAGATTCCCTTGATTAAAAATTGCGTTAGCGATAGAAAATCGCATTTGTGATACAAAATTGCGTGCAATTCAAAGTCATATTTACGATACAAAATTGTGATGCAATATATCACATTAATTGCGATTTTTTAAAAAGATTGCATCGCCATGCACAATTTCATAAATCGCACATCCTTACCGCCACAGTGTTTCCGCCGAAACTGAAATTGAAACTAATCATCATGTATTATTTCGAATCGTACGATGTATTTCGTATACTTTGTTGCGTAGAATAATTACAATAATTATCAACAAAAAACTTTTTCGTTTCTGTGACGAACTTCCTAAGCAAAGCAGAAAATCGCAATGACGTCGAATCTTCGGTCATTTTCTTGTTTTCATGACGTTATAATTTACTGTTCTACTTGAATTTTCCTGTTTTTCTTTTTCTTTCTACGACGAATTTACCGAGCGAAACAGAAAACCGCACACAGAAAAATAAAATATTCTTGTTTTGGAAATATCTTTATTGTTGACATGTGAATCTGAAAATAAGATTCCATAACATTAAACAAACATATAAATTTTTTTTACATCAATATATTTTATACAATGCAACAAAAGTAAATATGTTCTTATTAAAAAACAATTTTTATGAATGGGAAACACACGAAACAGAGAATATGATGTTTTTAAATGTAAAAAAATATCATTATCATCAAAATAACCATATTGCATTTCTTACGAGATTGCTATAATATTCAAATAAAATTTTAACACATTGTTGAATTTCAAGACTTAACAATTTTTTTAACAAAATTATATATTATTGCTTATATATACGAAACAATGATATTATCAATTCAAATATATTAGTAGGTACTAATTTTTTCTCATGCAATGATGTCAAATTTTTAATAATGGATCAGTCATTTTCTCATCATTTTCACAGTATGTTTTTTGTTCTATCTAGGTTTCTGTTTTTTTTTCTTTCTATAACAGACTTCCTAAGTAGAACAGAAAATCGCAATAATTTCAAATTTCCGATGATCTATCGGTAATTTTTTCGTTATTTTGACATTATAATTTTTCTCCTATATAGGTTTCTATTTTTCTTTTTTCTTTCTATGAGAAACTTCCTAAACAGAACAGAAAATTGCAATAACGATTAAAATTTTCGACAATGAATCCATTGTTTTCTCGTCAGTTCGATGTTATTCCAAATAGTACAGAGAATTCAAAAAGAATTAAAAAGAATTCAGTCGTATGTCACCAATTCTGAGTTCATTTTCAGATGCAAAAAGAATTCTTCAAAGTTCAGTTCAGTGAAAAGATTTCTTTTTACATGCAAAAATGAACTCAGAATTGGTGACATACGACTGAATTCATTTTCAGATGCAAAAAGAATTCTTCAAAGTTCAGTTCAGTGAAAAGATTTCTTTTTACATGCAAAAATGAACTCAGAATTGGTGACATACGACTGAATTCTTTTTGAATTCTCTGTGCTATCTGGGATGATTTTCTGTTCTACCTGAACTTCTCTTTTGCTCTTTTCTTAGCGTGACAATCTTTTTGTACAGCTCAGGCACTGATACTAACATCTGGACCATCTGCTTCTCCTCAGGTCACCATCGCGAACAAACCCCCGAGAGACCTGTTTATTTGATGCCTTTTTATCCTTTGTACCTTCGTCCTGTTGCCTTTCCTTGCCGATCAGTTGGCTCGTCTATCTCAAAGTCACTTATATACAACTTCTTGAACGCAAAAAGTAATCACCAAAATATATAAATTTATAATCACGCTACAGTGGTACAAGATTCTGTTTACATTGCGATAAAAAGCGCGTCGTTATATCGTACAGCTTAGTATTGACTCAGGAAGAGGGTGCAAGACTCGCAGGCAATGTCTCTTGCATTTATCTCGTCGAGAAAGATTAACGGAAGTAATTAACGACAACTGACGAACGATAAAATAGCGGCAGTCCGCGACAGCACGGCAAAACTGGCGGTTAAATTTGCATCGTTATTTCGTCAGGAATGTATTTACGACGAAGTTTGATCGATCCCCGATTCGCGCGAGCTTACTACAAGTCGCTACGGGGAAACTTATGGTTTTCGCTCTTGCTTGATCGCCTTCGTTTTTTTTCTTCATTTCTTGCCTTTCGTTCTTTTAAAGTAACTCCAGCCGACGATCGCGCGCAAATAGCACATCGTCTCACGCCTATCGTTATTTCAGGCTTGCAATTTGTGCGAAAAGGCATCGGCGCGAGAGTGAAAATCGAAAGCCCCGCAAGGTCGCCGATGAAAAATCACGTACGACGGGCGCTGCACGTTCTTTTATCCTTCGAGTCCGTCACTACTGAGAGCTCTCGTAGAGACGCTGGCTAGAAGAAAGCGGCCTGTATGTACGGCTTATTCATCACCACGACGTTGAAGACACTCCGCGGCAGAACGATACGGATCGCAACAATTGGCGGCGAAGTAAGAAACAGTTAATTGACGTAAGGTTCACGCCGAGGAGTCCCGGTGGGTTTCGTGTGTGCGGGACGCCGTGGAAAGAACAAGAAGAAACAAACGAGATCTCGGTGTAATTACAGATTCGTGTGTGCTTTCTCACGTTACACATGGTGCAAAGCGCATTGTGCACAGGTAGGTAAAATGAAATTGTATTAGGTGTTCCCGTTTTGAGGGCTCATTATAGGTGGTTGTAGCTATAAATTTACTACAGATATTTTGAAAGTTGAACATTTCTACAAATAATTTGATACATGTTACGTGCATTCGCGAACATAATCTTTTAGTGCGATTGAAAATGAATGAAAGTGATAAAGAGCATTTCCGTCACTTTTTATTTTACTGCTTTGATTCGAAGAAAATGGCTGCCGAAGTTCGCCGATTTATCTCAGAAACTTATTCTGAGTCTGCTCTATCAGTTAAAACATGTGAATATTTCGATGATTTAAAAGTGGTGATTTTGATTTTAAAGACAAAGAACGTTCAGGTCAACCAAAAATGTTCGAAGATACTGAATTGTAGGCATTGTTAAATGAAAACTCAGCTCAAAGAATTTATCTGAAGCATTAAATGTTGGTAAATCAACCGTTTCTGATCGTTTACACGCAATGGGAAAGATTCAAAAAGAAGGCAAATGGGTTTCATATAAATTGCCTGAATTGGCTATTTAAAATCGTTCAACCATTTACACTTCATTGCTTTCTCGTCATAGAAAGAAGCAGTTTTTATATCAAATTGTAACTAATGATGAAAAATAAATTTACTATGATAATTCTAAGCGTAAAAAATCGTGGGTAGGTCCAGGTCAACCATCGACATTGATTCCAAAATGCAATATCCACGGAAGTGGATCGCACATTTAGTGGGATGTGAATGGCGTCGTGTATTATGAACTGCTGAAACAAAAAAATCAAACAGTCACTGCGTTATCAACAACAATTAATTGATTTGAATCGTGCTTTGAACTAGAAACATCTAATAATAGCTCAAAAAAATGCAAAATGATTTTGTTGCACAATGCTCGACCATACGTTGCAAAAATAGTTAAAGATACGTTATCGGCATTTTAATGGAAAGTCTTACCACGCGCCGCGTATTCATCAGACTGTGTTCCTTCAGATTATCACTTATTTCGATCGATGCAGCACGGTCCTGCTAACCAACACTTCAAAACATATGGCATTCAAAAAAATGGCTCAATGAATGGTTTGTTTCGAAAGACGAACATTTCTTTTTATCGTGGAATTCACTTATTACTAGAAAAGTGGAAAAAGTTATAACTAATGATGGAAAATATTTTGCATAAAATATAATTTAACGTTTCTCTAAAATAAACGTGTTTTTTGCAAAAAAAATCTTTCAAAACTAACTGGAACATCTAATACCTAATAATTTTCGCGATCGCGTGCATAAAGGGTAAAAAACGTGTCTCTTTCTCTCTCTTCCTCTCTTTTTCTGTGCCTGGCTCTCGATGAATAAATAGGAATGTGCTATTTATAAAATTGTATATCGCGATGTGATTTTTTTTTAAGAATCGCAATAAATATGATATATCACAATTATATATCGCAAATATAATTTTAAATCGCGCGTGATTTTATATCGCTAACGCAATTTTTAATCATAAGAGAATCTGGAGCATGTTGGGAATCATAATGTTTAAATAAATGTTAAATATATTAAAAATAAATGAATCAACTCTTTCTCTCTCTCTCTCTCTCTCTCTCTCTCTCTCTCTCTCTCTTTCTCTTTCTTCGTATAGCATCGGAATACTTTTTGAAATATCCACTATAAGAAAACAAATTTTACTGTGAAAGAATAGTTAAAAATGAAAGCATAATAAAGTTAAATAATGTTTTCTTAAAAACATTACTTAACATCATTATGCTTTCTGTATGCGGAACAAAATGAGAAACATTTTACAAAACTTGTTTATTTCTGAATCATTAATTTTCAAACGTTTTTAAAAGTGATTTATTAAGACATGCAATGTATAAGAATATGTTGTTTCACGTTTAATTAATTTATAAATATATTATATATTATATACGTGTGTGTGTGTGTGCGTGTGTGTGTGTAAAGAGAAATAATGCAACTTGACATTTTAAGGCTGCTATAATCCCATTATATTTCTAAATATATAAGTTTGGATTAGATAATATAAAATATCATAGATGTCGCACGATAATTACACAGATAATTAACTAAAATGACAAGTGATTTTGAATTACAAGCACACTTGTTGTGATAAAAATCAAATTACATTGCACTGCGATTCAGAAAAAAAGTCGCAATGTTTAGGATATATCGCAAAATCGCACATCCCTATGTACAACGGGTGCACAATCGGGGAGAGCAGCGCGTGCGTGGGTGAGAACGCCGTTTATGGGATGTTATGTCGATGCGGCCGCGCGCTTCCGCTCGCTTATTAACGCGCCAATTAGTCCGTGAGCCAGGGGCACGGTGACGGGAATTTCTTACAGCGTAATTAGTTCGGTCAATTACCGCGAGTGTGGCCTTAAACTTTCACGTTATCAGGTAGCTCTCGCATCGCCGCTGCCCGCGGTGGTAACGTGACGCTGTATCGCGCGGCACGCGCATAATTTCGTGTAATTGTACGATTACCGCACGGCACACGTTCAGCGTACAGACTTAACGGTCCTGTTGAAACGCGAGGACGAGTCTTGTTTACCGTTACCGCGCGTTTTCCTGAGAATGCGGAGGGTCACCTGTTTCTCAAATCGACTCTTCAAATTTACCTTTAAATCAAATCAAGCCACCAACTTTTGACCATCTGTAATTCAGCATGGGACATTTTATCTGCAAAGGAAACATTCAGGAGATTGTAATTACGCACAATAAGAACAGATGACATTAACATTAAAATTATCAAAGCAGCTAAAATAATTTGGTTTATAATTTCTTGACTGGTTTGTAATTTCTTGACTCGGTTTGTAATTTCTCATAAAAACTGCTCAAATTTATAACAGTGCATTTCATATTTTTTTTAACTTAGGTTTGCCTAAAACTAAAAAGAATCAGTAAACATTTTTTTCTTCTTTCTTTTATTATGAGTTTTTTCAAAAACTTGTCATTTTGACCGTTAATTGTGGATAAATATAATGTTAAAAATTGCAACATTTTCATCTTTATGAATTTAATGCATTCTAATAGTACAATTGGTCTTCTAAGAATTACAAACAAATTTTCCTGTCCGGGATGCGTTGCGAAAGTCATCGAGGTAAAAGTATTACAATCTTTCAGTATCTCACTATAAAAGTAAAAGTGGCAGTTCCTGGCAACGTATCTAATCTTGAATATTTTTATTGTTTTTATTGTTTTTTTTTATTCGGAAAATATCTTTATTTTTGACGTGTTAATTTTCAAATAAAATTACATTGCATAAATTAAGATAATTTATTTGCGAGAATGTCTTATACAATTCAACAAAGAAAAATCTTATTATTTTTCAAAATAACAATATTTTCAACAATGACATTAAAAAGATGTTATTATCAAAAAATAATTTTCATTTTAATTGAAAGCACAAAATATTGGGTTAAAAATATGACGTTTTCAAATGTCAGAGAAAAAATATATTACATTATCATCAAAATAATTATATTGTGAATTCTTATGTGAAGCTATTATAATATACAAATAAAATTATAACATTGTTGAAATTCAAGACTTTAAAATCTCTCTAAGAAAACTATATATTGTTTATACACAAAATAATGATTGTTAATTTGAATATATTAGTTTTAAGTGATACTAATTTTTTTTAAGGAATACTAATTTTTTTCTGTGTACATATATCTTATAGTGAAAGTTTAGATATTTGTATTTAAAGAACAAAACAATAAGAATGTCCAGAATCAGGCATGTGTACTTTGATATATTGGTATTTTTGCCTTAGGTTTTTGAAATAAATGAGCTTTGTGATAAATGTGTGGAAAACGAAGGAAGGGAGCGGAAAATATGTTATTTGCATCGCTCGAAGAAGCGTGCGAGCGAGGCGGCGGCTCTATGCAGTGAATACTAGCACGCTGGATAATAAAACTCGCTCTCGCGCACAGACGAGTCAAGTTAGACCGCGCGGAATGATTTTAGCGAAGAGAGATAAATATATCCACGGCGTGGACGCCCGGACGGATCACGCCGGGAGGGGAAGAGAGTACGGGGGCTAATTCGAATTGAGTCTCGCGAGAGAGAGAGAGAGAGAGAGGGGGGGGGGAAGGAAAAGAGGGAGAGAAAGAGAAAAGGGAACGCTGCTTGTTTCTTTGCTTTCACAAACGATACACGGCGATTCCTTTGACGTTGCAACGCGGACACCGGTCGGCAATGCACTCGTATTAGCCGGAACTCACCGCGGATCCGTATCAATTTTAGAATTTTTAAGCTATTATTAATAATAATAATAACAACAAGCACGGCTTGTCTCACACTCCGTCGCTCCGGAACTGATGCAGGAAGTGTTCATGCTCATTGAGAAGCATGAGCGAAATTGAATTAATCTCCGGCTAATTGGATCGGTTGGATTAATCTTCCTTTCTGAATCGTTGTGTTTCCACAGGCGTACTAAAGATTACCGCGTGTCGCGCATAAATAGAATTATCTTTCTCGCAGCAGGGGGCCCATATGGCCACCGCCCATTTACTAAAATATCTCGGTAGCTGCAGCAACCGGCGCACCGCGTTGCAGTAGCTGCGGTTTACGTCGAGGAAGCCGCGCGAGCCACTGGCTCGTTGATACGCTCGACACCAAGGATTCGGATCAACCGAGGGAGATTCGTCCCGAGGGACTCAGGGCTCGATGAGACAAGTGACGTAACGTTCTCGTGCACAACCGTATTTTTTTTTTTTTTTTTTTTTTTTTTTTTTTTTTTTTTTTTTTTTTTAGACAAACGAGAGTTTCTTTTTTTTTTTTTTGAAAAAAGGAGGGAGAAAGAATTCTCTCAACCATAACAAATCAGCCGAGCGAAATCAGCCGTCGCAATTCCTCCTCTCTGTTATATTCCCGTGTGCGACTTCCCAGTTACGGACTTTATGTGGTCTCCGCGAGTAAGTTTACAACCGATATCCTATCTATCGATCACGCAACGTTCTTGAAGAACGTTGCTGCTACCTGCATTC